CAGTTTCTTTAGGTTTTTGCAATGAATGTAGTAATTGTCTAATGTTCATACCTGTCAGTATTTCATTTAATATGTTATACATGTCAGAATGGCAGGTTACTGGAATTAGTCAATGTAAATTTTCAATTTAATGCGCACAGTTGACAGCATTACAGTCAAATGACGTTTAAGGTTTTGCTGCATGATATTTTAGATGTAATTATGCATATATGGGTGTGGAGCAGATGATAACAATTTCTTTACAAATTAAGTAGATTTACACTTTGAAATGATTATACAGAAGTCTTCATTGCAATACTTTGCTTATAGGATATTCTGGACTTTTTAAATTGAGATTATTCTTTTAGTATTGTGTTAGTTGTTATACAGTCAGTGAGGTGATAGTATAGTTTTTTATGTTGCAGTCATCCTGTCACATTACAAGTGAGCAGGATTGTTCTTAATTGCATGTAATGGTATCCATATGTAATTGTAATATTTCAAAGATGTTTTTATTTTTCCAATTGATTTACCAACCCCAAGTACCTTGCCAGTTTGTAGCTATCCTTTTATACAGAAGGCTCTGCAGAAGGATTTACATTAATAGCAGCGATGCATCAATTACAATACAGCACTTTACCAAGTTTTTAATGTTTGCCTGCTAACTTTATGCTGTCAGAGCTTTTAAGCAATTCCATTACGTGGCAGTGACATACCTAGACACAAGACATTTCACTACAGTACAAATCAAGACACAAGCACCTCTGTTCATGTTTGTTAGTCAGATATTGGAAGGGTCAGTTTTATGCAGGAGAAAAAGGTTAAATGCTCAGCACCTTAGATGATGGAGGGCTTCTCCTGTACCACTGATATCATCCCAGAGTGAATTAATCTCATTAAGACTAATAGTTTCATGGCCATTGTGGATAGAGACTTGACATTATTATGTTTCATTAGTGGGTGGCATTGTGGCTCCAGTGGTTAGCTTTGTGGCATGGCAGTGTTGGGTCCTGGGTGTAATTCCTTGGGTGCTATCTGCTTGGAGTCTGCATGTTTGTCCTGTGTTTGTATGGGATTTGTCTGGATACTCCGAATTGCTCCCACAGTCTAAAGACACGCTGGTAGGTTAATTGGACCATGTAAAAAATTGGCCTCAGAGTGAGTGTGTGTATTTTTGTGTCTGTGTGTGCCCTGTGATGGACTTGTATCCCGCCTCTCGCCTGTTGCTCTCTGGGTTAGGATCTGACTCCCCCCATGACCTTATACAACATAAACTGGTTCAGAAAATAGATATGTATAAGCACGCTAACAGTAATTAATCTTGGAACTGGCTTCATTACTCTGTTCTCCTCCCCACTGATAGCTGACATGTGGTGCATGTTCTGGTAGACTTTGGCTGCCGTTGCATGGTGGTGATGGAGGGGAGTACCTATTACCTGTATAGCGCTTTGAGTGGAGTATCCAGAAAAGAACTAAAGAAGTGTTTAGAATCATCATCATCAGTAGTAGTAATAATTAGACACGCAATTTTGCTAATTGTGCTTGATAGTTCTGGGGAAACTCCAAAGTCCCTGTAATGTCAATTTCTAAATGAATAGGATGTGCTTTTCTTGGGATGTGTGTAATCCTCTACACAGGAACCCCTTGAGCATGATCCTAGGCAAGGTTTTGAATTCCTGATAGCCCACAAAATAAAAATCATATTTATTTTTGGGCTGTTACTATCTTTGTAATGGCCCCCTAAAATGATCATGCTACCTTTAAAAAGAGATCCTTACTCTGTATGCTTATTCCCCCATTCTTAAAGAAATTCAGAACAGTGGTCATTCCTCAGTGCTACATACTGTAGTTACAACAACTCAATACTTCACTGTGCTTGAGCATTTGCCTTGTTGTTATGGAAGGTACGACTTTGTTCAATTATACAATATGAAATGGTATGTCCATGCAATTTAAGATTAACAAGCATTGAAAGATATGACACTCGAGGCCTTCTAATCGGGAAATACTTCATAAATTAAGTATGTAGATTTGTGCCTTGCTTGTGTAATGAGTTTACTTTGAAAAGAAACAAAAATATCAAAACATTTCTTATACTGTATAATCCTCTTTTGCACTGCTTTTCATTTATATGCCTTTGTTTAAGTATTAACACCAATCTATTTTGTTAATGGAATTAATTTTTAGCCAATAATTTAGAGTGCATAACAAGAACTATTTAAACTCTTTTTTGAAACTGACAGTTGTAACTCATAAAGACAACAGGAGCGTTAGCTTTGTGCATTTTAGTCTTAGCCTCTCGTTGTTAATTTAAGTTTTTATGTAGTTTATGATCGTGAACTCATGGTGTCGCTGTCTACTAGTAAAAGAAAACTGGCTTTGCTTCGCTGCATCAGAACAACCATTAACAATCCTTTCAAAACCACCATCTTTGCCGTACAGAAGAAATGGTGATGGCAGTATAGGTCGGTTTGGTCAGATATTGCTTTTCTTTTCAATACTGGGTTTCGAAAAGAGCATTGGGAACTCTTGGTCGCTTTACCATGTGGAAATATGTCTTTTTAAACACTTTTGCAAGTACGATTTTTTCTAAGCATTGAAACAATGGCATCGAATTTTACAAAGAGGTATGTTACAGTTTTATTGTTGCTTTTTATGACCTGGAATGGTGCATATTCTGTAATTCGCTATTCGGTTGCCGAAGAGCTGGATGAAGGCTCGATTGTTGCAAATTTAGCTTCCGATTTAGGACTTGACGCAAAAAGGCTGATAGACCGTGATTTAAGGATTGATTCAGCTTCCAGCAAGCAGTATGTGGGAGTCAATAAAAATACGGGCGACTTGTACATAAAAGAGAGAATAGACAGAGAGCGTCTCTGTGGTAACAAAGATAACTGTTTTCTTAACCTCGACGTTATAGTTACAAAACCCCTTAAAATACAGAGTATTGAACTGGAGATTATTGACGTGAACGACAGCCCTCCCTATTTCGCCTCAGATCCTATAGAAATAGAAATTTATGAATCTTCTTCACCAGGCGATCGCATTTCGCTAGACAAAGCGATAGACTCCGACGTCGGGAAAAACAGGGTTCGCGCATACTATCTAAGTGAAAGTGAATATTTCGATATAGATGTCCAAAAAGGGAACGATGGGTCTAAATTTGCTGAACTGGTTTTGAGAAAGGCACTAGACAGAGAAGAAGAATCTGTTCATAATTTAGTACTCACCGCTGTCGATGGTGGAGAACCGTCTCATTCTGGCACTGTAAGCATTATTGTTCGTGTTCTAGATACAAATGACAACGCCCCTCACTTTGATCAGCTAACCTATAATGTGAGTATAGCTGAAAACGCCTTAATTGGAACTATTGTGGTAAAGCTTAATGCTACAGATGAAGATGAAGGATCTAACGCAGAGATAGTTTATTCTTTTAGTAGACATACAACCGACAGTGCACAACATAAATTCGCCTTGAATCCCAATAACGGAGAAGTCAACGTAAAGGGGGAACTGGATTACGAAGACACTCGTGTTTTTGAATTATACGTTCAAGCTAAAGATAAAGGGATGTATTCAATGACTGGACAATGCACGGTATTGATACACGTGGCTGATATAAATGATAACTCTCCAGAAATAACAATAAAATCTCTTTCGAATCCAATCTACGAGAACGTGACTGTAGGGACAGTGATTGCTCTTGTCAGTGTGTCCGACAGGGATTCTGGAGAAAACGGCAAAATGCGCTGTGAGATTCGAGAGAGGCTTCCCTTTACGCTCCAAAAATCCTCAGAGAATTATTACGCACTTCTTGTGAAGGAACCGTTGGACCGAGAAACCGTTTCAGAATACAACATCACCATTATCGTGGCAGATGAAGGGTTTCTGCCTCTGTCAAGCAACAAAACCATCCACTTGGAGCTCCTGGATGTGAATGACAATGCCCCTTCCTTTGGCACATCTGATATCACCATTTCAGTAGAGGAAAACAACGCTCCCGGGACAATATTTAACTCTGTCAGTGCTGTGGATCTGGACTTAAATGCAAACAGGCACATCAGGTATTCAATCCTGGATATTAAAAGCAGAAATAGTTCTGTGTCTAAATATTTTTCCATTAATCCAGAAAACGGCAACATTTACGCACTGCAGTCTCTTGATTACGAAGAGGTAAAGGCTTTTCGTTTTTGCGTCGAGGCTGTGGATTCAGGAGTTCCGCCACTCAGTAGCAATGTTACAGTGCACATAATTGTTCTGGATCAGAATGACAACAGTCCGGTTATAGTTTCTCCTTGGCGTCCACACGGCTCTGTAGCTGAGGAACTGATCCCGAGATCTACTGATAAAGGATACCTGGTGACCAAGGTGATCGCTATTGACGCAGATTCGGTACAGAACTCTCGGATTACGTACCAGTTTCTACAGATCACCGACTCCTCTTTATTCAGTCTGGACCAATACAACGGGGAAATCCGAACAATGAGAATGTTCAGTCAAAGAGATTCGAATAAACAAAAAATAGTTGTTCTCGCAAGAGACAACGGAGAACCTGCTCTCTCTTCTACAGTTACGATCAGGTTATCAACAGTGAGTCCTGCTCGGAAAGTTTCGACAGGAACGACTGAGGTACCAGTGGACTATGATTTATTTTCTGAATTGAATCTGTACTTACTCATCGGCTTGGGAGCGGTGGTGTTTCTTTTCTTGATAACTGTCTCAGTTATCATTGTTCTGAAGTGTCAGAGACCGAAGCCAGTTGAAGAGCCTCCTCCCTGTAGGAACAGTTTCCCCAGCCTCAGGAACTCTATGAACTCTCAGATAGCGGACTCCACATTGATCTCCAGCGATGCCTACTGGTACAGTTTGTTTCTAGCAGAGACACGGAAGGGAAAAGTGGTTGTTAGACAGACTGTGCCAAACGGGGCTGGATACATCGTTTCCAGTATTCCAAGGAGCACAGGACTCACAGAGACGAGCGATTCAGCGACTTCAACTCTCCAGGTAAAGAAACTGGAAGTCTGACACTATTCATTATATTCATTTGGAGAAAAAAATGGCAAATGACCTTTGTATAATTATTTGTATAATTATTTTTGAATGAATCATGAGGATTGTTTGCGCAAATCAAAACGCTACACTGCTTATTTCACAACATATCGTTTTTGTATAATGTAAATTATGAGATGTACAGTACCATCATTTTAGAAGTGAATTTAATTCTGAACTATAGATGGCAGTGCTTTACATTTTAAATAATTACACAAACCTTGTGCATAGATTATGACTTCATCTCTCAAATGTATTTGATTTTAAATTTAAGAGTATCTTTTTCCACTCATAAAATGAAACACTGATGAATTAACCTGATGATGGGTACAAAGCAGCGTCGTTTGAAATCAGAGTAACCTTGTTCGATGGTTTACCAAATATAAGCAGTCTAGGACATCCCTTCTTCCAAATGAACAGGAAAAAAAAAAAAAAAAACTCAACTGGATCTATTGTGAATAGTTTTGCTATCTATGTGGGGTTCATACGGACACTGATACGGAGTTGTTTTGAAGTAATTGTAAACTATACACCATACTTCGTACAGTACCTCTGAAACTGAAGTGACAGATGGATATTATGTACTTAAGAAATACTTATCGTATTATATGATATTACTAAAACATATTATTACTTTGCTAAATATAAAATACATATAAATCCCAAGACAAACTGTACATCTGACTGTATAGAGTTGAAGTTTTTTATTCAGCTTTACAGAATTGCTTGCTGATAGAAATATTCGAATGCCTGAGGTTCAATATGTTCATTGTTTTCACCTCTTTTTAATCACTAAAGAGCAAAAGCTTCCCTATTTCTAGATTTTGTCATCTAATATACTAAAAGAGACTTTACTTTCTGATGTTTCCTAAAGCCTAAACCGAGATTTCGTTTCAAATGCGGTATCATTACTACTCATAGAAAGATGCTGTTATTTTCAAGTGCGAGTTGTAGTGAGCGATGCTTGTAGACGCATAGTGTCGCTGTTCACCACCAAAATATTTTTCTAGAAAAATTGCAACGACCCTTAGCATTTTTCAGCAGAGAACCGGGCAGTTTGCAGATGCATGTACATGGGGAAGATAAGCACATTTCACAAGAAATGTTCTCATTAGATTTTTAATCGGAATTGGCGATTGATCATTGAGGACACATAACATATCCTCAGACTGGAAACTGGGGCCTTGGGACCTGACTGATTCGTAACCGAATTTCCTGAGGTGCGGTTATTCTCTGTACTGACACAATGCTTCTCGATTTTACACCGTTTAAAGGAGAAAGGTACGTGCTGTATCTATTGTCTCTTTCTTTGCTGTCAAACGTGGTACATTCTTTGATTAAGTACTCAATTCCAGAAGAAATGGCAGAGGGGTCCGTTGTTACAAATATCGCTACTCTTCTGGGACTTGATATGAGCAACCTAGCCAAACGCGAGATGCGACTCGATTTCACCTCTAGCAAGGCATATATAGATCTCAATAAAAACAGCGGGGAGCTGTTCATAAAAGAGAAAATTGATAGAGAGGAGTTGTGCGGACCCAGGGACTCATGCTTCCTGAATCTGGAAGTTATAATTAAAAACCCATTAAAGATTTACAGCGTCGAAATAGAAATAACAGATGTGAACGACAACTCACCCGTTTTTCCAATAAATAATATTGAGCTGGAAATTTCCGAATCGGCGTCACCGGGAGACAGGTTTTCTCTCGACAAAGCCACAGACAAAGATGTAGGCAAAAATACGGTCCGCACATACAAGCTGAGCGAATCTCCACATTTCTACATAGAAGTGCAGACACTAGACGACAGCTCCCGAGTTGCTGACCTGGTGTTGAAAAGAGCAATAGACCGAGAGCAGTATCCAAATGAGCATTTAATTTTGACTGCTGTCGATGGGGGAGTTCCCGAAAGGTCTGGCACTGCCAGCATCACCGTCCGTGTCTTGGATGCTAACGACAACGCCCCTCAGTTTGAGCAGGCAATCTATGTAGTAAACCTGACGGAAAATGCGGCAGTTGGGACTGTTGTACTTCATCTCAATGCTGTGGATTTAGACGATGGATCGAACGCGGAGGTTGTGTATTCATTTAGTAAACACACGTCCGAAAAGGCCCGGGAGAAATTCATCTTGGATCAGACAAAGGGAGAGATTCGGGTTAAAGGGGAAGTGAATTACGAAGAAATCAATATGTTTGAAATGTATGTTCAAGCCAAGGATAAAGGACCGAACCCAATGATGGGTAACTGTAAAGTGGTAATACACCTGATCGACATGAATGATAACCACCCTGAGATCAGTATTAAATCGCTGATGAGCCCTGTTCAAGAGAACGTTGCTGTAGGTACGGTCGTTGCCCTGATCGGGGTAACTGATGTGGATTCAGGTGATAATGGCAAAACTGACTGCCGCATCTCTGAAGACCTGCCTTTTACACTGAAGAAGTCTTCGGACAGTTTCTATGAACTTGTTGTTGCACAACCGCTGGATCGGGAGACAGACCCGGAATATGAAGTCACTCTTATGGTTACAGACAGAGGGGTGCCTTCTTTGTCAAGTAATAAAACCTTAACTTTGAAGTTGCTGGATGTCAATGATAACCCACCGACATTCGAGAAGCCTTTTTACACAATATATGTACCTGAAAATAACGCACAAGGGGAGCTTTTAAGTTCTGTGGTCGCCCACGATCCAGATTTAGGAGCAAACGGCCATTTGACATATTCTATGTTGGAAAAAGAAGCCATAAATGTGTTGGTATTCAAATACTTCTCCGTGAACCCGGACAACGGCAACATTTACGCACTACAAACTTTTGATTTCGAGAAAGAGAAGGATTTCTTTTTTTATGTTGAAGCCAAGGATTCAGGTGTTCCTCCCCTCAGCGGTAATGTCAGCGTCCATATTATTATTCTCGATCAAAATGATAACAGTCCCGTCATCGTTTCGCCATGGCGCGCACAAGGTTCCGTAGCTGAAGAGCTGATTCCAAGATCGGCTGACCAAGGTTACCTGGTGACCAAAGTGATCGCCCTTGATGCAGATTCAGTGCAGAACTCACGGATTACATACAAGTTTCTACAGGTCACAGACTCTAAACTGTTTAGTCTTGACCAGTACAATGGGGAAGTTCGGATAATGAGAATGTTCACCCAGAGAGATTCTTTTAAACACAAACTTATCATCTTGGCCTGCGACAACGGGGAACCCGCTTTGTCCTCTACAGTTACTATCAAACTGTCAACGTTAAACCCCGTTGCAAAAGCTGTCTCGAGCTTGAATGAGGAGCCTTTGGAATATGACTTGTTTTCTGATTTAAATGTGTATTTGATAATCGGTTTAGGTTCCGTTTCTTTTCTGTTTTTGATAACTATATTCGTTATTATCGTGCTCAAGTGTCAGAAACCAAAACCTGCAGAAGAGCCTCCTCCCTGTAGGAACAGTTTCCCCAGCCTCAGGAACTCTGTGAACTCTCAGATAGCGGACTCCACCTTGATCTCCAGCGATGCCTACTGGTACAGTTTGTTTCTGGCGGAGACACGGAAGGGAAATATGGTTGTTAGACAGACTGTGCCGAACGGGGCTGGATACATCGTTTCCAGTATACCAAGGAGCACAGGGCAGACAGAGCCAACAGATTCCACAACATCAACACTACAGGTAGGGGATGTTCTGCTTTTCTGTACTTAAAGAAACAAAAGTCCCTTATCTTTCCTGGCCTTTTGTCCAGGATAGGTGAAACAAATGGATGATATGTTTTCCCTATCATGTACTGGCAATAACAAATTAATTATAGTTACCAGACAAATGTTCTGTAGTAAGCATAATACAGTTTCCAGTTACCAAATAAACTCCTGAAAGCATGGAATAATCCATACATTTCTGTCAAAGGTTTCTTTTCACGTTCCTCTTGAAACAAATTGATATTTCTTGAACCTGTATTTCTTTAATGGAAGGAAAGAAACATTACCTTATGGCCTAAAATAGTTGCAACTGTGAAAACAAAATCGTTACATTTTTAAATGTTTGCATGATGTAGTAGTGATGTTTATCCTGGTCATTCTTTATATGATATGATTCAGGACATGGCTTTTAATTGTGAATGACTCTGCTCATTGTAACTACAGAAATAAATAAATTAAGTTAAATAATTACTAATAATAATTGTTGTGATCTAGCACAAGTGTGGTAATCATCATGAAATGCTTTAAAGACAACACAACCAGCCCTTTTATATCAAGGAAGATGCCTTCTTCTCAGTACACATTACCTGGATTTAGAGCAATAATTTTATTAGAGAGCTGTTTGAAACCCTACTAAAACGGTGGTGGTAATTTGAAAATAATGTAGTTTGTACTTTGCTGTTACACTTTTAGTACAGGAATGTAAACATATAATGTGAAAGACCTACAGATGAGCAAGTGGTATTTTAGGATGGACGTACAGTTTTATTTATACTTCCTGCTGTCTTGCTTTCTCATAATCTATTATGTTACAAAGTGTAGGCAAAAGAAAAAGTCATATTGTAGCACAAATAAGAGCTGCTGTTTTTAGGCCTTGACCTTTTAAAAGCCAGAAGACTACAAAATTAATTAGGTGTCTGGACAGAAGTATTGTTTTTCACTACTAAACTACAGTCTGACAGTCATTATAAATAAGATTTAACATGACTAATTACATGATCTTCACTTGTTTTCTGAGTGGTGTACAGCCTCTGAGGTTAAGTTTAGTTTATAAAGTCATTTCTTTTGCAACTGAGGTATTTTTTAAAGTCCTTGTGTTGCAGTTGTACAATGCAGTGCTTGGTGCTGTATGTGGTACAGTGCAATTTCCTTCTAACATTTGCTTTTTGTGTTGACAACATAAGAAAGCAGAAAACTTCATTTGTATCCTAACTTTATTATTTAAATAAGCAAACACACCAGAAAGTTAGGATAAATGTACTGGATTGCAATGACAAGCTGTGTTCATTTTTTCATTTTTTCACTCATAATGGTAATAACTGAATCTATCTTCATTTGCCAAATGTTTCAATTGGAAATTTGTAATGAACATTGTTGGTGGAGAAAATTTTGGTTCATTTTCAGGTCCCAGGTTTTATACCATCCTTCTTATACTGTACATTGCTGCTGGAATGAATTGTTGGGCAAACCTCATTATGTTTATTAGTCATTTCTTGGGTTTCATACTTTCAGGGCAATGGTATTGTTACAGATAGAAGTTTATGAAAACAGAGAAAATCACAAAATAACCAAATGGATCAATCCATAAGTAAAAAAATTATTATACCCATATAATATTGAATATATAACCCCAATATAATTATATATCATTTAACTATATAATTATAATCCCCAACTTGTAAATGATTTTGCCAAGAATAAGCCAGAGTGGTTAGTACAATTAGATTTAAGTTCTTTGTTCTCTGACACAGCTCATTCAGCCACACTGGAATCAACAAATATTTATTCATAATGATAACACACACACCAAACTACACACAACATAAACATACAACACACTTGTTACGCTCAGCGCTGGTCCTGGGCATAGCTAAAGTAGGGGACCACCTTCGGCCCTGAGGCAGCCAGGGGGCCCCTCAATGTACAACACAACTGTAACGGGAACTTGTCCAGGCGCCCATGAATATTTATTTCTACATATCCTTTCTACAAAGGTTTCAGTGTAGTACTTGGTCAGTTATGATTTGCTATAATTTTAAAGTGACAGAGGTCCTGTTTATCATTTATTGTTATTAATGTTCTATTTATGACTTTCAATGTTAAAATGCCTTATCTTTGTAAAATGTGTGCGTTGTGCTTTTGTTTATGAATTATCTATTATGTGTTTTTCAGAGCTGGGTAATAACTGATTTTTAGCTTCATAATTCTTTTATTTAATTGTCCTAAATAGTAAAATAAGTTTGGTGTGGGAGCTGATAATAGTCGTGTATGCATAAATCTTGATCTAGAGAGGCCCCTTTCCAAGATCTTGCCTAGGGCTTCCAAATACCAAATTCCAAATAGGGTTATGCTGTTTTACAAATTTACAAACAAGGGACCCATAGGCCTAGCATCCTAACCACCCAGAAAAAAATGCAGACATCTACTAAATTTTCAAACTCATATACTACCTAAAAAGGCTAAAAGAAGAGATAACCTACTTTTTAAACCAAACAGAATACAACCTGTGGTTAAATCTCTCTCTGCAAACCAGTTGCCATCAGAACTTATCTCCCTATTCTTAAAATGCACCTACTAACCAGGAGAGACCAATTTTTACCACAGGATTCTTTAGCTAGGAAGTCAGAGTTGCTTAATAACAGTAATAAAAATAACATAATAAAAGTCTGATCTTTTTTGGGTGACCTGAAGAAAGAACTCTTACCTTCCCTCTCTTTTTTCTCTTGTCTTCCTCTTTCTGCTTCCTTCCTCCTCTCTCCTTATTCCCCTTTCTGACCCCCTGTTTTATGCTGTGTTCCTGAGCTGTTGATTGACACTTAATCACTTACCCAGAACCTAATTAAGCTAAACCATGGTAAACTTTACAAGTGCTTTGATCACTGAATCTGGGTCCCCTACATCAGCAAACACATCATGAGATCTGGAATGTTCTGTAAGAAATTTTTAATTTTATCTTGGCGCCTAGGAACAAGACAAAATGTTTGCTGTTTTGCTACTGTTTTCTTATATTCTTGTGAAAATTGAAGCATTAGCCTGAGGCTGAAGCATTGTAAGTATAACAGAAATTCATTATCTATAATGAAAACTTTTAATTTCACACAGCAATGAGAAGCCTAAGGTAAGTGGACTCAAGACATAAAAGCATTTTTTGTGTTTAAAGTTAAAAAGATACAAAAACTTTATTTCTAGGTAAAACGTGTATTGAAAATGCAACTGACACTGAGAATTCAAGAGAGATCCGAATTTATGTTTAATAATACACACAAAAAACATGTATGCATTGCTTATGGTTTTGCCTTAAATTACATTATTTTATTCATATATTTGGATGATATGCAACTTAAAATAAAATATAATCTATAGCTCCCAAATTAATTTTCAGTACAATATCTTTCACTTTTACTTTTAATTATATTTCAACACATCTACTTGAAACCCCTTTTTTTCTCAATTTCAAAAACAGACCACATCCTTTAAAAACATGACATTCCTGCTTAGTTGATAGAGGATTTATTTGTCACAAAATCCTATAATAAGGTATATCTTGTGGTCTATAAATACAAAATATTCTTCCTTATGTTAGAATTTGTAAAATTGAACTGAACTATATGATATAACTAAACATGATTCACGTACAATTTGTAGCAACATCATGCACAGAGGCACAATAGCTTTATAGTTCAGTGTTTGGTTCCTGGAACTTTTGGTTTAATTTGCTGTTGTATGGGGAAATTATGCGTTGAATATAACATTAAGTCACATTCTGGAATAATTGGATAAAATGATTCTGCTCCTATGTTAGATATGTTCAGTTGTTTCTTTACAAAACAAGTATTGGTACATCAGATGTTTGGCTTTCAGAATTATTACATCAACTTTCAGATTTTTGAAGAAACTAGAGCCAAAATATTGTACACTCCACTTTGAGAGAAAAAATGAAAGTGAATTTTGTAAGATTTTATGCCTTTGGGAAATTCAAGACCAAAAGGCCTGAAATCAAAACCAAAATCTAAGTGTGTCACCCTTTCTTGGAATTTTGGATTGTATTATCTAAAAAGAACATAAAAAGAATAATTACAATATTGGTTTTATTTGGCAGAGGCTCAGGATTAAGTGGTAGACAGTGTTCAGGTCAGGACTAAGGTATGTTTCTGATCTGTCTGCTTCCTAAGTGCCTGCTAGATATTTCCATGACTGCACCTAGTGCTAGTGTGTGTCACTGTCTCTGAACACTCAATTCACAAGCACTGAATGATAATTCATAAAGGGCAAAAAAACTACAAACCTGGATATGAAACACTATTCTGCATGTTTATATATACAGTATATGCGTTTCCTCTTATTTTGCAGATATGAAGTGTTTTGTTTTATTCACAAGATTAAACCACTGTGATGTGACCTAGATATCTGCCACAGTTATAAAAAGCACTTCTAGCCACCCTCCCACATAATCCAAAGCATGGAACTGACAGGGCTTCTGAAATGAGGCTAATAACTCACATAAAAAACTGAATACCAGCAGCAGCAGCACCAGCGTATTTTCACAACCTGAGAGGGTAAGCACAGGCCTCATGAGGAATTCCACCTTGAATGAAGTGCATGTAACTGGCTTCATTGAAAGTGGAAATGGACTTTTATCCTCCGTAACTAATTTATTTTTATTTTTCCCCTTGTTGGCAGGAATCCAGCAGTGGTTTCCCATGAGGCCAGCTTTCCTGGTGGAATCTCATCAGCATGAATCCGTCAGCAACACAGAAAAAACCTCCCCAACTGACACCAGTCCCGAGGGCACCAGTGATGTGAACCACCACCTCTATGCCCCTGTCATCCTCCCTGAGTGCTCCTGACTGATATGTCCTACCCACCTTCAAGCATGACTCTGCATGGCTATAGAACCAGAATGGGCTCATTAAAAACAATATCGAAACACTCCTTGACTGGCATCTGCACCGGCACCTCAAGAAATAGAGGGACAGTATGAAAATGAAAAAAAGCTCATTGATGTCCTTGAAGAAAACTCCATCCCAAAATCGCAGGAAAACTTGTCTTCTGAGAAACTGCAAAATAGAAGGAGAACAGAAAAAATGCCTTTTACTGTGTTCTGGTAGGTCCTACCCATGATGGGTAGCGCACTAAGGAAAAATATATGGCACGTAGGACTGAGGAGCTGTTTTATAGCCTAGCTTTTGTAACCCCATATTTTTATCCCTGTTAGTATTCAAAATCTCTGTGCTGTTGTTATCAGTCACAATCTTCACCATTAATTTCAGTGATATCTGACATTAGAAAAATGTTCAAGAATGTTGTCTTAAAAATGGGATCAGTTTAGAACACAAAACACATATGCTTCGTTTTCATTAGGTAAAAGGCACCCATAGCCTAAATACGTTTCCTTAAAATAACTCATGATTTAAATATTTGTAAACAGAACCCATTTACATGATTGAATTGACATCTTGAATTATATGTAGTAATGAAGGTAAAGGTCACTCAGGATTTAATCTAAGTAAAAAGCCATTTTGGTGCACTATTGTTAAAAATACTTCAACTAATTCAGGAAGGTATGATTTTTAGTTGTTTCTGATTTTTGCATAAGCAAACTGGATTTGGACAACTTTGTAGCTAGATATGATACCTCAAGCCAAATCATTCAGATTAACAATTCCATGGTAACAAGTCTCTTTTTATTCTCACACTGTGAAAAATGGCTTAGAAATTTTAATTTTTAGTGAATTAAGCCACTTGAACTGGTCTTTTTACTTGCTGTCGAAGAGGTCTTCAACCTACAGTAGTCATAAAATGTTTTGAATAGAAATTACACATTGTGAGAACACGTTAATGTATTTGATGTGTTAATTTAATCTAGGTTTTTATTTAGGTTACATTTATAGATAAAGCAAAAGTAGTGTTGAATTTTGTGCAATGAATTAAGCACTGGCCACGTTTTAATGTTTACATTTATTTTATAAAATGTATGACTGAAAATAAGCAAAAATTATTGACTATATAACTTTTAATGCTGCTTTGTGTGTAAGCTTTTATCCAAGTGCTTTGTGTAAAGTATTATATTAGTGGTGCAATACATAGTCTGCTTTTTACATACTGATAGTATATTAAAGTATCACACTGCAAGTGAGGTGACCCACATCCTTACATGTAACCAAAATAATATAAATTGTAGAACTAGTAGGTCATTTGATTCTCAAGTGGGCCCATAGCACGAATTTCTGTAAGATGAGGAAAAGACTAAAAGCAAAAGGAGACTACAAAGATGAAGAATGAATCAAATATCTTCCACATACTAAATCTGGGAAAACTGTTTTAAATTTGCAATAAAGCTTAAAATAATTTAGCTTAAAAGCTTTTAACATACATCCAATGGAACCTCTAAATTATCAAGTGTACATTTTCTCTCCCAAATATATCTGTAATTCTCAGGTCTGCTATTGTCTTTTCAGTGTTCATTACTGTCATTCTGAAATTGGTATTTAAATACTTTAGCTGGTGTGATATGTAATGTCCCAACTGATGTTTATTTTCTTATTATTTTTACATTTTCTTGCAGTATGTATGGCACAGAGTGTGGTTTATTTCCGATCCATTTTGTAAACAATATGCATCAAGTGTTCAATGACTCTGAGCCTGTTTCTATAACCTTTGACCCCCTGGGATGGGAAGCACAGTTAGAATATCATGTCAAAGGCCTTACGTTGTAAGCAAGGTAAAGAGGGATTCTGTTTTAGATAGTTAGCCTTTGCAATTTCTGATGGAAATTATCTCTAAAAAGAGCATCCATTAAGTTTTACAGGGTGCAAGTGAATATTGGAAGATGTCCTGAAAGTCATTCCTATGAAACAAGATTCAATGAAGTGTTATTATTTTCAGACTTATTTTCCTTGTGCATCGAAGGGGAAAGAGAACATTCCCTGAAAGCCAATAAATACATGACAGATGCCTCTACCCTCTGGTCTCATGAATATCAAGCTTTACACAGAGGTTCCTTATATCTGTTCTAAAATCCCATTGTTAGGCCTTATCAATAATAAGGAACGTTTTCACTTTCAGTTCTTCAATATCTGTGGAGATTATCTCAAGAATTAAATATTTGTATGTCCAATTATACTTTAAGGGCATTTTTTACTGTTAAAACAATAAATGTACTGTATATACTTGCTCATTGTTATTCTATATGACAAAATCCATACTTATGTTTTATTTATTGCCTGTGATATTAACTCTGAATTTATTTCAAGACATTCAATATCTGTACAGAATGCAAAGTCTATGGTATATGAATTAGGTAAGCAGTTTTTACCACAGGAACTGTAATTAGACTCCAATGAAACATGCACAAATAAAAAAGAAAGGCATTGATTTGGGAGGTTAGGATATTCATGTATGGAAATAGTGATTTTTTTCTTTACCTTTTTGTCTTGCACAATGCAGCCTTACACTCTTTATTCTTTAAGAGTGTCTCTTTTGCAATAGTTTTCTCCTTGATTCTACTAAATACAAGACACATGAGGAATATTTAAGTATTGTATGTATTTTACTTATGCCTTCAGTTATATTTTCCGGTTAATTTTTTCTGACAACTGTTTTGATTTTGATTTTTGATTTGGAGCCTTTTGGATTTTGAGTTTTGCATTTCTATGGAAAGGCAAAGGAGAGATTAATTAAACATGCAACCAGCTGTTTATTTTCTGGGCTAATTCTGAGACATCACAAACACCGACCAACATATCTGGACCCACTTGAGAAGAAATATTTAAAGCCTCTATCATCATATAATTATTAGATAATGTATTCTACATTAGGAAACATTGTGCTGAATGTCTTGTGTTTTTCCTGAAATGCAAATAGACATATAAATTAGCGGCCTCTCATTGAGATAGTTTTAACTCATAGCGTATCTGAAACATTCTGTAAAAAAAGTCAATTCTAAGTGCATACAAACGCTAGACAACAATTCTGAGGGATTTAGAGACTTTTATATCTAATTTCAAACTTGAAAGAAACACAATAAGTAAATAAAATAGCTTCTTTCAGATAGCTAATGAGTTAAAGCTATGTGACTAGGATATTTATTTTAGGCATATCAATGACAGTTCAGGACTATGACCATGGGTTTGCTCTGCACTGACATTATTTTCAAAAAGGTGTTGGAGCGCAGGTACATATGTAGGTTAAAAGAAACATTTAATCCGAGTACATCTCACATTTACCAGCTTCTTAATGTGTTTACTAGGTTTTAACTGGATAATATATTTTGAACCACATTTCTCTCCAATCTGAATTGCTTGGGGTGAAATACTGGTAAGGTGTGTGCTATAGGCCAAAATAAAAATATATATATTGTTGTGCTTGTGTCTCTGTGATTAAGTATTGGGTGATTATTTGTTTAATGATGCTGCCCACTCTGCATGGCATTTTATCATTATTTTTGTAAGGAAGGTTGGCACTGTCTCCTGAAGCAAATGAAGTATGCTAGTGAAATAGAGCAGGAGTGTGGGCATGGATTGCTTTCTGGTAATACTGGATGGTGTTTTGCTTGTAAATACTGAAGTGTGAATAAAAGCTTTCAAACGAATACTCTTTTGTTAGTATTCTTCCCTCTGCATGAAAACAAATGCATCAATCTCAAATTCATTATCTTAGAATTTAGGAACGTAAATTCTTAAAATTTAGGAATATATGTAAATAGTTCAGACTATCGTTCTCTTTCTGTCATTGTTGTAGTCAGCAGACATTTTATAAACAAAGAATTTATCTAAACTGGTTTTCACATGCCACATAATAGAAGAATAGAAATAAAATAACTAATAGGAACATTAGAACCACGACTAGCATTTCTAGGACATCAGATCTTTAGGTTTCCTCCTCTGTGGTATTGTACAGTGAACAATTGCAATATCTTATCCTTCCCATGTAAAAAGTTCCTTTCAGGTTTTCCCCCTTTCCTTCTGTTTTTATTTACCGAAAGCAATAAAGCATGTGTGAATAAGGTGTTAACCACTACACAGCCAACAAATTGTTTGTAGTAACATTTTATAATTCATGAGTCAGCCCATTTTTATAACTTATTTTTTTTAATTGTGACAATTTTACATTTTCGACATGATATCGTACTAAATTTAAGCGTGAAATGTGATATATATATATACGATTAAATAATGATCAGAGCTTTGTAATAACTGCAAAAGATACAATAAGGAGAAAAATTCAAACATTTAACCTATCCTCACTGAATAAAATGTATTACAATTGGAAGTTAATGGTGTAAACCATTTTCAAATAAACCTTAGGACACTGAAGAACTCATTTTAAAGTCTGAATTACAACCCTTTATTAATTTGGCAAAAATCCCATTGAACACAACGAGGTAAGTTTCCATATAATATCTCAAGACCTTTCAATATTCATTTTTTTATCATTTTCATCAAAAACCTACAGCTATAGAAGAACAGTTACAATGTATATAATAAACAGAACTGGTATTTAATGTAGTAGCTATATTTAAAACACCTAATGATGATTTTTACTTTTAATATATTACATATTGACAAATAACAATTTCGATTGAAATAATGCCCAGTTTGTCATACATATGTTATACATATATAGAAAACAATATATGTCTAGTGCTAGCCAAATCTGCTGGTCTGCTTTAATGTTCAGCTGTCAGCTTGTTGTATCTCAGGACCATGGACAGCAACCAGCGTCTTGCTGCTCCGTTGCCATAGCAACACACAGTTAACATACCCAGACAGAAAAACGCTCTGCTTTAAAGCTGATCCCTTTTCCATATCCAGGTTACAAAGCACTCTGATTTATTACTCACTTAAAATTTGTAATTACTCAAACGTAAATATTTAACACAGGGCGTAGAAATGACTGAATTGTGTTCTTGTTTGATAAATCTTATATTGTTACTTTTTTAGTAAGAATCTCAGCAATTAAAATGTGTGGTGTGTTTAAAACGGAGTGTTGGAGGTGGTTGTGTGTTTGTGGGAGGAGTATTAAGGAATCACAATGAAAAATGTTTTTGTTTGGGCCCAGCTGGTATAAATTTACTCCTCTATCAAAGCCACAAACAATTAACAATTTTATTGATTATGTTTTTCTGTAGCCCTGCCCCTCCATCATTCCTGCCAGTCCCAGTACTATCACTAACGTTTATTTTTTTACTTTTCCATCAGAAAATTAAAAAACTAAAACAGAAGCAGAAGTTTAGTAATGTCAGCTTAATCTTGGGTATTATACTGGCTTTCTCATGCATATCACTGTCAACAGTGTTGGTAAACACAAGACGTGAATAAAAAATAAATTCAGTTGTTAATGAAAAGTACAACTTTATAGAAGTGGATGGATATAAAACCTCAAGTCTACACACCATTATTGATGAAATAATTATGTATTTGATATATTTGTTTATTTATCAGCATTGTAATCCTTTATTAACTGGCATCAGAGCAAACTGCTATAATGGAAGATGTGTCTTTTCTTGTCACCTAACTATGCTGCAAACGCCAAGAGTTCAGTCATGTGCCACTCCTTTTACTCAAAACATGTCCCAGGGAAAAGTTGGAAAGGACTGATGGGATGTTGAAAGAGAATCATGAGATTAAGGCTCCTGAGTGGGTAAGTACCTACTGTATATATCGATTTCTATGATGGAATCAATGTAAAGCTAAATATGTAAATATTTCACAGGCAGTTTATCTAGGGCTTGTACCAGGTAAAAAAACATCCATGCATCCATTTCCTAACCATTTCCTTCAATTCAGTCCACAGGGAAGCCAGGGCCTCTCTCAGGGCATACAACAGACACAGGGCAGACAGGATGGCAGTCCATTGCAGGACACACACAGGCACAAGCACATACATACTCGCACCAGGGCCAGTTTTCCCAGGAGCTAATTGACCTACCAATATATCTTTGGACTGTAGGAGGAAGCTGGAGCACCTGGAGGAAACCCACACAAACATGGGGAGAGCATACAAACTCCACGCAGACAGCACCCCAGGACAAGAACTGAGCCAACCCACCACCCCAGAGGTGCAAGACAGAAATTCTAACCACTACACGTCACCATGCATTCCAGGTAAAAGCCAATGTCCACCTATTAATTGATTATTGATTTGAATATTATATGCAATTAATGTCAACAATTATTAACATTTCTACCAAGCACAGCAGTACTGGATAAAAAAAAAACTGTCTTGTGACTTTTCGATTCTTTCATCTCCATCCTTCTTAGGTTCCCTGTTCATTCCTATACTCCATTTCAACTGTTTTTCCTAACTTTTACCCTAACATTAATGGGCGTTCCTTTTAATATTTATTTATTGTGGAAGTTTATCTTAATTTGCTCTACACTTATTATACACAAAATACACTGTTCTCCTATATGGTTGGATGGTTCCATTAGCATTTTTCAATGGCCAAAATTTCATTCATGTAGGACTTGGCAACTACATACCCTTTAAAAATGGCATTTGACTCTTCTATGGGTTCATAATGTGTGATGGACTGGCGTCCCATCCAGTGTGTTTTGCTCCTTGCACCCGTTGCTTGCTGGGATAGGATCTGGCTCCCCTATGACCCTGATATAGATGAAGAAGTTAGATAATGGATGGGTGGGATCATAATTACTTAATTTAAATCAAGTGTTAACTTCACTAGTCTTTAGTAAGCCTGTTCACTGGTTTATGCTCAACAAGGATAATTTACCAATAAAACCTGGCGGACTGCAGTCTTCAGACCACTAAACTGTAGTGTTTTCACTAAAGCCACCCTTACACCCTTAATCAGATGTACTTATTGAACCAAGCCTTTAGTCCAGATCAGTCTAGAACACTAGGACATAACTCTGGTCTTGTGTTACCCTTGTGTTTGCTGGTTTTCGTTGCAACTGAATCACCTGGGACACTTTAATCAATCTGTGTGCATGTTTACACTTCTTGTTTGCCTGTTTCTGCATTCAATCTTATGTCTTCAAAACCCTTTATCAGGCATATTGCTTCCAGCAACATCATATTAATAGCAGCCTTATTTCTGTCTAAACAGAATAAATGGATTCTAATACAGATATGTGAGGAACAAATAGGGATGGGAATGACAATATATTAAATATTTATTTATTCCTCAAAATACCAATTATGTTTCAGACTAACCATCTGAATGATAAGAGCAGTGAACTTAGAAAATGTAAAAATATGCCATATAAAAAAAACTGAAATAAATTGGATTATAATCGAGAAGTCGTCTGAATCAAAAGTTATAAGTGTAATATATAGATTCACCGCATGGTGTCACTGTTTAAAAACACACCTGCAGTACAAGAGTTTCTGAAATTAAAAAAAAATTGTCCTCTCTGTTTTCGTGTTCTGTTTGTTTCAGACAAAAACATGCATATATACAGTAGCAAGAACAAGAATTGTGAAGACTCGATTCTTCAATTATTCATAGATTCAAATAGATTATAGATTCAAAATGAAGTCTGTTTGTCTGAAAAAGATGTAGATGCTCTTTAAAAGTGTTTGGTCTGTGTTATATATATGAACCTGAAATTTGGGCAGTGGGTTAGCTCTTTTCTGGATGTGGTTTCATTGCAAGAGTTAATGTAAACATTTGGCATTCTTTTAAATGGGGCTCTAATAATCTAAAATATTGGTTAGAAATTCATAGGACTTTTGATATTACAGTATATAACAATAATAACAAATAAGGCTTTTGAGTTTGAAGTATTTGAGTGTTTAATTTACCCTTGTAAAAGTCAGATGACATACAAATGGTAAAATTAACTAAAAAGGTCCAAAATCAAGTGAACACTGAATGAATTTTCCATTGGTTAAAAGTACGGATGTCCAATCCTTGATCTGAAGGTTTTATGTGTCTGTAGGTTTTAATTCAAACACAGCTTGTAGTGAGTTAAAAACCACCAAGTTAATTACCTAACTAGACCAAATTAGTAGCTCTTCTCTCCCATTAAGTGTTGTTGCTTTAAAGTCATGTTGCAAACCTGCAGCCACACCAGGCCTCCAGGATGAGGATTGTACACCCCTGTTTTAAAGTATGGCCACACATTTTTATATCCTAACAGAATCTGTAGCAAAGTCATTAATCACTAGAAGTTATACTTGAGGTTACAACTGTTTGAAGGCTTGAGATGGAGAATCTATGAATAAAAATTACAAGTAGCAGGTGAGTTATTATTATCACCTGTAACAGTCATTTAGGTCCTGGATGAAAGTCCATAATGGGGAATATTTTAGGATCTTTGCATTTAAACTGCTACAGTCAGTGTTTGTAAGTTAAACTTACTGTATTTGACAAGGCTATCTTGTTACTTTGCTTTTGCCTTTTGGGAGTCTAATTTAATATTTTCCTGATCCATTATAAACTCATTCATCATTTCCATGTCTCCTACTATTTTGTCTTTTATTTTCCTTACACTTCCAATAATGAGACAAAAACTGTCTCATTATTATCTTTACTCTAATCAATTAATTTTGTCCCATTGGTCTGTCCAAAGCTTCAACCCTGTTTTCATGTACAGTATGTAGAGAAGATGGGAAGATGCTTTTACAAGCTTTGCTGGTGGAAATTGGAAAGGAAAAGAGTCCAACAAGTCCAATAAGTGGAGACATTTTGCGGAGGTCTTCATCCAGCACTCGAAAGGCTGTGGATGATATGGAAGTGTATAAATATAAAGCACTTTAGAGCCTAGACTTTAGAGAAATATTTCCTTTGTCCCTCAAACGTGAATCTGGAAATGTATGAACTTCTTTACCACAGAATTGAATTGGATTAAGTGGATTACGGCAGCTATACTGTACATAAAGGCAGGCTGACAGACATATATGGCAAAGAGTTTTGTAAGTAGGTTTTTTTATCCCTGGCATCTAATTAGACAATTTAAATTTTCTTAGTTTTGAGCAGCTAATGTTTGCCATGCTTACAATTGTGAGGAAAACCCCAGATAAATACCTCTTTGTTACGCCACGCCCCTGGAGGACTCGTCATTCCACCTCGCATTCCAGCACAGTTCCCAATTAGCCCATTTACCTCGGCCTATTTAATGCTGCTTCACACTCTCCCCTGTGCTCAGTATTAGATCTTCCTGCGATTAGTTACGTCTTGGATTTTGGCTTCCTGACCCTGGTTTTTGTTTCCCGACTACGTCTCCTAGTTTTGTTTTGGTACTTTGTTTATGGTTCTTTCTTAGACTCTCGGCTTCCGGCTCCGCTTCTGATTTTGTGACTTTTGCACCGGTTTGTTTTCCTCCGGCTTTCGGACTTCGGACTGTTAAATCGACTACGCCTCTGGAGTTCGTCCTGATTTTCCTGCTTAGGGTCCTCATTAATATTCCGTAACACTCTTTCACTATTCAAAAAGATCAAATTCAAGCAGATTCCACTGTGTGCATACACATCATAATGGAATTAAAAGTCTACAGATTGCTTTAGCTAAGTATTATGAGATAAAAGTTTTTAAATACTACCACAAACTCTTGTACGATGTAAGAATTATGGGCAACGTGTATATATGTACAGTATGATATGAAGTGAAGATACGAGCTTTTTATTAGGCTATGTGTGACGCTTATGAGTTTATCTCTGACATCGAATGAAAAAATAAAATAAAATCGGAGGAAAACCTAAAATATTGCCTTACATGCAATTGTTGTTTTTGCTGCGAGACACGTGGTGTCACTGTTATCCAAGAAAACCGTATAAAGGAAAAACATTACAGTATATTACCATCAGCTCCTTCATCGACGATTCTTACCCTATCAGAAAGCAGAAACGGGGTATCGTGCGCGTAGCAAACAAGGGAGACGGCTAGACCGCTTTATGTACATCTAGGCCTTGGAAATTACCCGATACTTAGGTATAAAACAGTAAATGGCCGTCTACACATTTTTCTTCCAAGAAGAAGGAAATTATTTTTGTTGGACTATGCTGCCCATTTGTGCTTGAAAAGCGTAATGCTGGTCGTCATGGGACACGCATATCACAGAAGAAAACGAGAGAATCGATGGACATTCCTGTATTTCATCTTCGCAGTGCTCCTCTGGAAAAGGACTACGGCTCAAATACATTATTCCATTCAGGAAGAATTAAAAATTGGCACTTTCGTTGGAAATATTGCAAAGGATATGGGCTTTAACATCGGACAGTTAGCTGACCGGAATCTTCGTATTGTGGGGGGATCAAAACAGGAGCTTTTCCAGGTAAATCAAAAGGACGGTGCTTTGTTTGTGAATCAGAATATAGACAGAGAGGAACTGTGTGGTAGAACCGTTCCATGTTATGTTAGCCTTAAGGCTGTCGTAGAAAACCCTCTTGAAATGCACCATGTAACCGTGGAAATTACAGATGTAAATGACCATTCTCCCAGCTTTCCGGACAAAGAGAACAGGCTGGAAATCTCCGAGTCTGCAATGCCGGGTGCTCGATTCCAATTAGAGGGGGCGAATGACCCAGATGTTGGTTTAAATGCCCTGCGCTTTTATAAACTGAGCCACGACGAACATTTTCAGTTAGAGACAGAGGACCTTAGCGAAGATGTGAAAATCCCAGTTTTAGTGTTGCACAAACCTTTGGACAGGGAGCGTATTCCAGTACACAGGTTGCTCTTGACAGCCTGTGACAACGGAAACCCACAGAGATCTGGGGCTCTTAACGTTACTGTCACGCTGCTAGATATCAACGACAATGCTCCTGTGTTTGATCAACAGAAGTATTCGGTTACGTTAAAGGAAAATGTTCCGATCGGCACTACTGTAGTGCGGGTCAGCGCTTCAGATCAGGATGAGGGCGTCAACGGAGAGATCGAATACACTTTCCGTAATAAATTCAGAAGCAGGGCGTCTGAGCTTTTTGATTTAGACAGAAAAACAGGCGAGATAAAAGTTAAGGGCTTGATCGATTTCGAAGAAAAGCAGGTTTACGAGCTTAACGTGCAGGCGTCAGACAAGGGGCATGTTCCTTTAACTACTCATTGCAATGTGTTTGTAAAAGTGGAAGATGTGAACGACAATAGGCCCGAAATAGATATCACTTCTTTGTCGAGTCTGATACCCGAGAATGCTCGTCCTGGCACTGTCATAGCGCTGATTGGAGTTAGAGACCTGGATTCTGGAACAAACGGCCAAATTGCCTGCACTGTTTCGGAAAACACATCGTTTGAGTTGAAGCCGTCATCTGAGGACAAATTTTATTCTCTAGTGACAAAACGGTATTTAGACAGAGAGTCAAAACCTCAGTATGATATAACTATAACTGCAAAGGATTTAGGAAGTCCTTCGTTGTCGTCTGCCAAAACCATTCAAGTGGAGTTATCAGATGTTAATGACAACAGTCCGATATTTTTTAAAAATCCGTATACAATGTATCTGTTCGAAAATAACGTCCCAGGTGCCTCAGTATTCTCAGTAAGTGCGTCGGATGCTGATGAAAATGAAAATGCCCGTGTATCTTATGCTCTGGGAAATGGACAGACAGACCAAACTGTAACATCTTTCTTAAACATCAACTCGGAAAACGGAAATATTTATGCTTTAAAAAGTTTTGACTTTGAAGAGCTCAAGAGCTTTCAATTTCACGTTACAGCGAAAGACTCTGGCGTGCCGTCGCTAAGCAGCAACGTCACAGTGAACGTTTTCATTCTGGATCACAATGACAATGCTCCCGTGATCTTGTCTCCTGTAAATTCTAACAGGTCAGCTGGAGCTGTTGAGGAAGTACCGCGCAGTGTGAACGCAGGTTATTTAGTAACTAAAGTGAGAGCTTACGATGCAGATATAGGGTACAACGCCTGGTTATCCTTTTCGCTGCTCCAGGTTACGGACCCCAGTCTCTTTAGCTTAGAGCGCTACACGGGAGAAATCAGGACACTTCGTTCAATCACGGAAACCGACGAAATCGAACATAAAATGATCGTACAAGTAAAAGATAATGGGAACGTTTCTCTATCGGCTACAGCAACTATACTGATTTCCATAGTCGAAAGGGGAGAATCTTTCGCCGTTTCTGATCTTCAAACTCCAATGAAGCAAGAAAAAAGCAACAATTTAACTTTTTACTTGATGGTGACCCTGGCGTGTGTTTCTGCGTTGTTCGTGATCAGTGTATTCACCTTGGTTATAATGCAGTGCTCCAGAAAATGTTATTCTTCTGAGTCCTCGAAAAATACAAAGTATGCGGAAGTCAGCGGGAACGGAACTCTCTGCCACAGTATCCAGTACAGAGGCGGAGAGAAGCGCTACATGTTAGTGGGACCCAGGACGAGTATTGGCTCTATGCTCGGCGTGGGAAGCAATGGAAACACGCTAGTCGTCCCAGAGAACGGAAGGAGAGCTTCGGGAGAGGTAAGCTATGGTTGAACTTCAATGTCAGTTTGTGCACACCCTATTTTGCTAATCGTAACTCCATCCTGTCATGACCCTTTCAATGATCATAGAAAGTGGACGAATATCCAAACGGGGAAAGTTCTTTGTTATAGCATGTCTCAGGTAAACTCAAAGACGCAAAGGAATGCCATTCAACATATTTTGGGTAATAATCTGTAGGTAATACAGTAGGTAAACTGGCTAATAGATAATTGAATTGTTGTTTAAAATATTTTTGAACTTCATTATGTTTTCCTACACGTGCTGGGAACGGTTTCTTTTATGATCTCAGAGAAAAGGATGTAGTTAAATTTTGGTTTTCTGGGTTCTGGGTTTCAAAGCAGAACCTGTCTGGATTAGAAATGTGTTTTCTGTACTTAGCCTGGCGAGTCTTATAAAGGCGAAATATCATGCACCCTGTGGTTTGTGTATAATTCGTTCTATGTAGGAGTTTCTGAATGTGAGCTTTTAAAGTTGTAATTTCATACAGGTTTGTGTTTGTTCTACGATATATTTTGTCCTTCTGTTCGGAATGATTTTGAATCTTGATAAAATTATACTCATGAACAAAAACGATACAAACGGTATTATTGTACAGAAAATGATACGATTTTAATTAAGAACATATCTCTTAAGAAATTTTGATTCTATAAAGAAAAAATATTACAAAATTAAGAACATCTTCCGGACAACGAGAGTTTAGTGGAATCTAGAATAATTCATTTTGAAGACAATAGAGCTATGTTTGTGCGTAAAACCTAATTTAGCAATCCTTAAGACAAGAAAGCAATTTGTAGTGTTTTGCTTTGGCCACACAGTGTCACTATCATCAAGGTTTACGTTAAAAACTCAAACCCTGCCCTTTGTAGGAGTAGCCTTCATCACACAATACACAGAAACAGACGAAGTCGTGTGGAGAGAGAAACAAGGTTCATTTTAAGGCCTGGGATAATGTGTTATGGTACGATGATGTACTGTAACTCAAACGGTTATTGGAAGTAGATATATATGCCATTTGCAAAGGAGGAATATTTCTCAGTGTGTTTTATTGTTTGCCGTTGATATTTGTGGACTGTTTCGCTATGAGATACTGCGGACATAAAGAAAGATGGGAATTTCGGACATGTCTCCATTTTGCGTTTCTGTTATTTCTATGGGAAAGGACTTCGGCTCAACTCCGTTATTCCATTCAGGAGGAGGTTAAACAGGGTACTTTTGTGGGAAATATTGCAAAGGATCTGGGATTAGATTCCGAACAAATAGCGGACCGTCGGCTTCGCATCGTTTCTGGAACAAAAAAACAGCTCTTTCAGGTAAACCTAAAGGACGGCGCTTTACTTGTTAATCAAAATATTGACAGAGAAGAAATGTGCAGTAAAATGTCTCAGTGCATTGTTAATATAAAAGCTGTTGTAGAAAATCCTCTGGAAATCCACCATATAACAGTAGAAATTGTGGATGTTAATGACTATACACCAAGTTTTCCAAACAATGAGAAAAAAATAGAAATCCCGGAGTCCGCAACAACAGGAGCACGATTTCAGTTAGAAGCTGCTCATGACCCAGATGTTGGTTCAAATTCTCTGAGATTTTATAAACTGAGTCCAAATGAAAATTTCGAATTGGATGTACAGGGCCTTAGCGAATACAATAAAATTCCATTTTTAATTCTGCAAAAACCTTTAGACAGGGAACGCATTCCTGTGTATAACCTGCAGCTGACCGCTTTTGATGGTGGTAAACCACAAAGATCAAGTACTCTTAACATTACAATCATAGTCCTTGACATCAATGACAATGCGCCAGTATTTGATCAGCAGAAGTATTCGGTAACACTGAAAGAAAACACTGCAATCGGTACATTTATCATACAGCTAAATGCATCAGATTTAGATGAAGGTGCCAACGGTGAGGTTGTGTACTCCTTCGGTAATACGTTCAGGAGCAGAGTGTCTGAGCTTTTTGATTTGGACGGTAGAACTGGACAAATCAAAGTCAAGGGTTTAATCGATTTTGAAGAGGAGCAGGCTTATGAGATTAACGTGCAAGCATCTGATAAAGGAGCCGTGCCTTTAACTACGCATTGCAGTGTTTTTATAAAAGTAGAAGATCTGAACGACAACAGGCCGGAAATAGAAATCACTTCTTTGTCCAGTCGGATTCCAGAAGACGCGCGCCCCGGTGCTGTGATAGCTCTGATTGGTTTAACGGACCGTGATTCTGGTACGAACGGCCAAATAAAGTGTACCCTTTCAGAAAACCTTCCTTTTGATTTGAAGCCATCGTCCGAAGACAATTTCTACTCATTAGTGACAAAGCAGCAGTTAGACAGGGAGTCCATTCCTGTCTACAATATTACAATAACCGCGAACGACTTAGGGATTCCTTCCTTATCATCAGCTAGAACCATCAGTGTGGAGTTATCAGATGTAAATGACAACAGTCCCAGATTTAATCACGATCCATACATATTATACTTATATGAAAATAACTTCCCAGGGGCCTCCGTATTCTCGGTTAGTGCATCCGACTCAGACATAAACGAAAATGCCCTTGTTTCATATGAACTGGGAAATGGACCGATGGACGGAACAGTAAGATCTTTCTTAAACATCAATTCGGAAAACGGGAATATTTACGCTTTGAAAAGTTTTGACTTTGAAGAGCTTAAAAGCTTTAAATTCCAAGTCGTAGCCAAGGACTCTGGAGTGCCATCGCTGAGCAGCAATGTCACAGTGAATGTTTTTATTCTGGACCAGAACGACAATACTCCCATGATTTTGTCTCCCTTAAATTCTAACGGGTCTGCTGAAGTTGTGGAGGAAATACCCCGGAATGTGAACGCAGGTTATTTAGTCACTAAAGTGAGGGTTTACGATGCGGATGTAGGATACAACGCCTGGTTATCGTTTTCACTGCTCCAAGTTACGGACCCCAGTCTCTTTAGTTTGGAGCGCTACACAGGAGAGATACGGACACTTCGGTCATTCACGGAAACGGACAGCACCGAGCATAAACTGATCATACAGGTAAAAGACAACGGCAACGTTTCATTTTCAGCAACAGCAACGGTGCTTGTTAACACAGTCGAGGCCACAGAATCGTTTGCGATTGCTGATTTTAAAAACATTGCTAAAAATCAGGACGAAAACAATGTAACGTTTTATTTAATTATCACATTGGTGTCAGTTTCAGCGCTTTTCTTGATTAGCATCTTTGTTTTGATAGCAATCCAGTGCTCTCGATCTAGAGCCTATGCTTCAAAGTGTTCTAGGGATAAAACTTACGCGGAAGTCAGCGGGAATGGAACTCTTTGCCACAGCATCCAGTACAGAGCCGGAGAGAAACGCTACATGTTAGTGGGACCCAGAACGAGTATAGGCTCTATGCTCGGCGTGGGAAGCAATGGGAACACTCTGGTCATCGCTGAGAACGGAAGGAGAGCTTCGGGAGAGGTAAGTCGTGGTTGGTTACATCACCCTCAAAATGCAACTTTGTCAAACCTATTTTTTAAATAATTTCTTCGAGATTAATTTTGTCCATGTACTTGAATTAGGTTCCATTTCTTCTAGAGGTTCCAAAGTATCTGACGGTTTTGTTCGCCCCGAACACGAGGGCAGGTTGTCTTAATTTACATTTATACAATTCAACTCACCGATAAGACGAGGTGCGTTTGTAAACACCAAATTGGTCCTGATGGCGTATACTGTATACTTCCTCCGTGCAACTCGCAAAACCTTTTTTTTTCAGTCCGATGAGACAATGGCTTAAATAGTTTGACTTCGTGGACATTATCAAAAAATTACTGTCACAACAGCTCTGACATCTTTTCAGAAATTTCTTCTAGCATAAAGTTGAACAGCAGCTGGCAATGCAGACCTTCGATACAGTACAGTGGGTTGCCTTTTATGATCAGGAATTGATAGCCAGGAATTGATTTTTGGGTGGGCCTGTGCAAAAGTGGATGGCCCGGGCTCTAACTGACCGTCCTGCCAGCATAGGGGCACCACTCCAATTTACAATGCAATCTTCGAGCGGTATAATCAAACAGAATTAGCGGAACCTTATATATATATACCTACTGTCTTTCTCTCACACACACAGGTTAAGCAACAATAACCTAGGCTGCCGAACGCTAGTGCCACGGAGGACACACACAAAAAACCAACGTATTCATTAGAGAAAGGAGCGGAGACAGTTATATTGCAAATAAAATATGTATTTATTTCGAAGAGTATGGGACATTGTAAATCAATAAAGACGTTAAAAAATAAGCCGATGTAGTAATTTTTCAAATAAGTAAAGCATTTTAAAAATAGATTATCATTGACAGTAAACAAGCCGATCCACCTGGCGCTGCTTCCTTGAACAGCTTCCGTGATTGACTGGCTGCGATTTGGTGAAGACTGAGAATCGACACTCTGATTGGGTAAAGCGCCACACCGGAAGTTAACAGTGTGTGCTTTATCCATGAGCACGATGGATATACAGTAACACATCCATTGCAAGAGAAGTCGCACTAACGTCAAAATTGAAAAGCATACAAAGAATGTCATGAAATCCATAGGGCGTTCAGGACTCTGATAGCATGTCATGCTCGATAGGAGTGCGTGCATCACGATCACATCGCGATACCCATTGCGACTAGCACATCACTGTCATGATGCCACTGTCGCCACATTAGTCCATATATAACATACCCCGACAAAACGCCCCCGCCCCCATGTTGCGACATGGAGCCCGCATATCGCATACCCCGACAAAACGCCCACCCCCATGTCGCGATACGGAGTCCACATACTGTATCGCAATATGACAAACCCCCAACCCCCCCATGTCGCGACATGAAGCCCGCATATCGCGATATGACATACCCCCGGCAAAAATGCCCCACTCCATGTCGCGACATGAAATACCCTATATCACGATATGACAAGCCCAGCCAAAACGCCCATTTCCCATGTCGCGACATGGCCTTCATATATCGCGATATGGCAAAAACTGTCACGCCCATGTCGCGACATGAAACCCGTATATCGCGATATGACATACCCCGGCAAAGTGCCCCCGCTCTATGTCGCGACATGAAACCCGTATATCGCGATATGACATACCCCTGACAAAATGCCCGTCCACCTGTCGCGACATGGAGTCCATATGTTGCGATAGGACATACCCTGACAGGATATGCTGACCCAATGTTGCAACACAAAGTCCATCTATCCCGACACGTCCTATCTGGGTATATCATGTCCTGATATGGGACTTTGGCAAGGAAGCAAGTGCCAGTCGTGAGATCCATGCGATATATATGGGGTCCCTATCATAATATGCTGCGGAGGTATTGTCGCGATGGTATCCCACAGTTACGCATTTGGCAACAGCATGTCACGGTAGGGAAAGAAAGGAAAACGTGCCTAAGAAAATAAAAAACATAGATCTTACAATCACAGTGATTTTACATACATTACAACCACAGGTTTATGTCATAGATCGTTAACTTGTTGGCATGCGTCATGTCTTAGTATTATTCACATCTAAGGAGGCTCATATGTTTATGGATATTGATTGTCTTTAAAATGTTAAGGGTAACAGCTGTCTGTGGGGGGGGGGCAACGTCACGGAGCTTTTAACTTGCCTTTAAATATTCAGCGGACTTGAGCATAAAATACCAGAAGAACGTGCACGTACGTATGATTTCAGAGGTTGGAGTAAATGCATCGCACCATGGGTAATATCGAGTGAGGCGCCATGAGAATAACAACTGCGAAGGTATTAAAATATTAAGTTCTGAAGACCTTGTTTGATCCTTCATGATGCTTTTAAACTTGTATGAAATCTACGAAATTTGTGTTCTATTTTCGATGCCAAAAGACACCTAATTTGGAAATTCGTGACTTTCCACAAGAATTGTTTTAGTCGCATATGAATTGTTTTAGTCGCATTATAGTGCAAACCAATTAATCGTACCTTTAATTGCAAGAATGGTCTGCTAATAAAAGCGTCAAATACATACATTGGATGTATTTTAGCTCTGTAAACGTCATTCACCTAAAAATACTGCAGGGCATTTAGAGGCGAGCTGAATAGTTATCTGTAAAATGCACACTCGCGTCTATCCGTCAATATTATCTTAATGTTATACATGCATTCCAAAACTTGTAATTTGTTTACAGGATAAATTTTAAAACCTCTTCCTGCTTAACTCCTACAGGTTGAGCATGTATCGAGCTGCTACAAGCAAACGCGTGCACTGCCCTTATGTTCCAGAAACACTTGTTTTCGGGAAGGCAGGCTGTACTCCTTAAAACCCAAGATGCCTGTAGCGTCTCATGTGTCTTCTTTTTTTCATGACTGGTCTGGTCATCTACAGGCGGCTTTTTGAAAAACGTAGATATATGCATTTGTTTTACCATGTTGGCTAACAAACCAAAAACCTAGTGCTAGATAGCTCTAAGAGGGTCTGACGACAACGATAGCCAATTAGGCTAAGGCTAAGCTTGCACCGCACCACCACATTTACATAGTTTTCTTACTGGGCACAAAGATACTGCGAGCCTATAGCAAAGCACATACTATGAAAAAATAAAATAAAAACGTAACATTTAAAAGCAAATAATGTAACGCAAACAAGGGGGACAAAATCGTAAATTACAGTACTTTGGACTGATTGGGTAGGCCTAGGATCAATCGTGGCTACGCCCCTGCCTCTTCTACTGTACAGTATGTACTGATTTAGAGATTATCCTCGAATTGGAGCATTAATAGACTAATACATTAATATTGCATTCAGATTTGCAACGCATGGTGTCACTGTTGTCAAAGACTACAGTTAAATAAGCGTTTTAACTTTGTAAGCCCTGCCCATCCCAGAGCCCTATTTTTTTTCTCGCATCGGAGAGTAGGAAAATAATGTGGACGGGGAAGGACTCCATCTGATATCGCGGCCTGAAAACATGACTTCCTTATCTGGATATTCCTAAAGAACTGGGAGACATGGATACAGTATTTCGAACAAGAAGAAAAAATAATGTCGAATAGAATCTGATTTGCTGGCAATGGCTTATTGAATATTTTCACCATGCGATATATCCCTCAAAGAGAAATGTGGGAATACCGGTGGTCGTTTCTTCATTTCACATTTCTGTTTTTTCTCTGGGAAAGAACTTCAGCAGATATACGATATTCCATTCAGGAGGAAGCTAAGCAAGGAACATTTATTGCAAATATCGCAAAGGATCTTGGAATTAATGTCAACAGCCTCACAGATCGAAGGTTTCGCATTGTTTCGGTATCAAAGCAGGAACTTTTTCAGGTAAATCTAAAAGACGGCTCTTTGTTTGTTAATGATATTATAGATAGAGAGGAACTCTGTAGCAGGAACGCTCACTGTTATATTAACCTTAAAGCTGTAATCGAAAACCCTCTCGAAATTCATCATGTTATAATAGACATTGAAGATATAAACGATCATTCCCCGAGTTTTCCAGATCAACATAAACGCTTGGAAATCTCAGAATCCTCTTTCCCCGGAGCTCGATTCCAATTAGAAGGTGCACATGACCCAGATGTTGGTTTAAATGCCTTGCGCTTTTATAAACTTAGCCAAAACGAACACTTTGAATTGAAAGTAGAAGACCTTAGCGAAGATAGTAAAATTCCCATACTGGTACTGCAGAAACCCTTAGACAGAGAGCATATTCCGGTACACAATTTGCAACTTACAGCATTTGACGGTGGAAACCCACAGAGGTCTGGGGCGCTAAACATTACTGTTATTATTCTCGACATCAATGACAATGCTCCTGTATTTGATCAACAAAAGTATTCAGTAACCTTGCGGGAAAACGTCCCACTTGGTACCTTTGTGGTACGAGTAAATGCATCTGATCTGGATGATGATATTAACGGAGAGGTAGAATACTCATTTGGCAGTACATTCAGAAGCAGAGTGTCAGAGCTGTTTGATTTGGACAGTAAAACTGGGGAAGTCAGAGTAAAAGGAATGATCGATTTTGAAGAAAAGCGGGCCTACGAGATTAATATACAAGCTTCCGATAAGGGACTTGTGCCATTGGTTACTCACTGCAATGTGTTCGTAAAGATTGAAGATGTTAATGACAACAGGCCCGAGATAGATGTGACGTCTTTGTTTAGCCTTATTCCTGAAGATGCGCGTCCTGGTACTGCGATCGCGCTGATCGGCGTTACGGACCTAGACTCTGGGAAGAACGGTGAAATAGTTTGTTCGTTAGACGAAAACCAGCCATTTGATTTGAAGTCAACATCTCAGCAAAACTTCTATTCCCTTGTGACAAAAAGGCATTTGGACAGGGAGGCCGTGCCTCAGTATGATATAACAGTAACAGCAAGGGATTTGGGAACCCCTTCCCTATCTTCTCATAAAACCATTAGCGTGGAGTTATCAGATGTCAATGATAATAGTCCCACATTTTCACAGGATCCATATACATTGTATTTGTTTGAAAACAATGTCCCGGGTGCCTCTGTTTTCTCTGTAACTGCCTACGATCCAGACCAAAACGAGAATGCTCATGCTTCCTATTCATTGGGCAATGAATTTGTGGAGATCATTTCATTTTTGAATATCAATCCCGATAATGGAAACATATATGCGCTAAAAAGCTTTGATTTCGAACATGTTAAGAATTTCAAATTTCATGTTATAGCAAAAGATTCAGGAATTCCGTGTCTGAGCAGCAACGTCACGGTGAATGTTTTTATTCTGGATCAGAACGACAATGTTCCGGTGATCTTGTCTCCGTTAAGTGCTAACGGATCTGCTGAAACTGTGGAGATTCACCGAAATGTCAATGCTGGTTATTTGGTTACCAAGGTACGAGCTTATGATGCCGATATAGGATACAACGCCTGGTTATCATTTTCACTGCTCCAAGCTACTGACCCCAGTCTCTTTAGTTTGGAGCGCTACACGGGAGAAATCAGGACACTCCGTTCTATCACAGAAACAGACAGCAGTGAGCATAAACTGATCATCCAGGTAAAAGACAACGGCAACGTATCTCTTTCAGTAACAGCAACTATACTTATGACCATTGTTGAGAGTATGGAGTCTTTTGCAGTCTCGGATGTCAACAATGCAGCTAAATCTCAGGACGGAAATAACTTAACTTTTTATTTAATTGTTACATTGGGGTCAGTTTCATTTTTATTTGTGATCAGTGTACTCACGCTGGTTACCATGCAGTGTTGCAGATCACGGGACTATTTTGGTAAATATTCTCCGGATACAAATTACGCAGAGGTGAGCGGGAATGGGACACTTTGCCACAGTATCCAGTACAGAGCCGGAGACAAACGGTTCGTGGTCGTTGGGCCCAGAATGAGTATAGGCTCTACGATTGGCTTGGGAAGCAATGGTAATACTCTAGTCATCGCGGAGAACGGAAGGAAAGCGTCAGAAGAGGTATGGTTCTGGTTATTTCATGATTTCTGTCCTTTGCATTACCGACTTGTTTGGCAATTGTATTAAGAATGCTTCAGTGAGTTGTTTTATTTTTTCGTGGCGTAGTTTACTTTTGCAAAGTAGCAATGTTCCACAAGATCCCAACGCTTTCATAACTGTTATTGTTAGTAATAATACATTCATGTAATACAGACTCCAAAGTAGATTCTGAAATAATTGAATTGCTGTTTGTGATGGTGGCTGCCGATTGCTAATGCACGACTAATGTCACGACAGATGAACTTTTGATATCGTTTTATACGAAGTGACTAAGAGAAATGCCATTAATTTTCACTGCATTTATGTTTAGTGGCGCCAGCACCACTGTGTTTAATTTTAAAGATGGAAATATTTCACTTTGAGGTCTAAAAATAATTCACAGAATACCTAATGCGTTCTCTTATACAAATTAATGTATTTCATTTAGTGACAGCTTTGAATTGCACATTTTATCAATTTCTGACAAAATACTCCGGTGCCCTACTTTAAAAAAAGTAGGTTCTGTCTACTCCTCTGCATTTATATTATTTATTCCTCAGATAATATATACACAATTCAGTTTTTTTTCTAATCCACTTTATACAGAAACCACGATCTTACTGAAACCTAAAATGTTTTCGATGTGAAGTTTTTCTACAAAAACCATTGTTAATAAAGGTTAGTATATTTGTTTAATCGTGAAATGTTACCAATGTTATGTTTTATTTGTGGTTTAAAATTGGCATGATTGATATGGTAGAAAGTGAAGATGTGTAAGCGACCCAACACATAGTAACAAGTAGAGGTTAATTCCACCCTGAAAGGTAGAAAGAAAATAAAAAAAATATATAAGAATTCAAAGGTGGGCCCATAATGACGGTTTATCTTATGTAGGTTTTGCAGCAGAAAACCAACATTTTTTGCTCTCCAGTATGGAATTAACCTATACCAGTCGATTTGTTTGCAATCACACCATTAAACGTGTCTTTATAAGAACTTGTTCCATTAGACATAGACAGTTTTGTAAGGAATAGGGGGATGTAAATAAGATTATTTACACAATCAATAAAGTTGCAATTGCAAAATGATGTACCTGGATAGCAATGTCTTGTACTTGACGCATGGTGTCACTATTATCAAAGGTTACTATTTTGATAACCGAACACAAAAACGATCTTCCTTCTTAGGGACTGCTTTTACTGTACCTCTGATCACGGAACAAAAGAATTAGCCGAACGCGAGATTTAACGGGATCAGACCGTCTGTTTTTGTTATTTTTAACGGATTTTATGTATGGATATGAAAGAAGACCTTCGCCCTTCTGCCTGAAGTATTTTAAAGGGCACATTTCCACATGCATTACCATTTGCTGGATATTTTCGCCATGCGACACAAACATTGCAGAAAGCGATGGGAGTACCGATGGGCTTTTCTCTGTTATGCGTTTTTGTTGTTCTTTGGGAGAGGGGCTTCGGGACAAATACGATATTCCATTCAGGAGGAATTAAAAATCGGTTCGTTTGTGGGAAATATCGCTCAGGATCTTGGTCTGGACATTGAAAAACTGAGAGACCGCGGGTTTCGTGTTGTCTCGGGATCCAAAGAACAGCTCTTTCAGGTAAATCAAAAGGACGGTTCTTTATTCGTCAATGAAAATATAGACAGAGAGAAACTGTGCCAGAAGAACAGTAAGTGTGTTATAAACCTTAAAGCTGTTGTAGAAAATCCACTAGAAATGCATCACATTGAAGTTGGAATTCTTGATGTAAATGATCATTCCCCGAATTTTCCAGAAAGGGAGAAACGTTTGGAAATAGCAGAGTCCACAATACCGGGAGCGCGCTTCCAATTGCAAGGAGCGTTTGACCCAGATGTGGGTATCAATTCACTGCGCTCCTATAAAATGAATCAAAACGAACACTTTCAGTTAGAAGTAAAAGACCGAGGTGAAGATAAAAAAATTCCCGTTTTAGTTCTACAAAAGCCTTTAGACAGAGAGAAGAAACCAAACCATATTCTGCTCCTGACAGCCTTAGATGGAGGAACACCGGAGAGATCAGGGGTTCTCAATATTACTGTAGTAGTCCTTGATAATAATGACAATGCTCCGGTTTTTGATAAAGAAGTCTATTCGGTAACTTTGAAAGAAAATGTTCCCGTAGGTACTTTGTTAATAAAGGTAAACGCCTCGGATTTGGATGAGGGGCCTAATGGTGAAGTGGTGTATTCGTTTGGCAACAGCATACGAAGTAAAGAATATGAGGCATTTGATTTAAATATGGAAACAGGAGAAATTAAAGTTAAGGGGGAAATAGATTTTGAAGAACACCAGAGCTATGAAATCGATATACAGGCCTCTGATAAGGGGCAAAGCCCTTTGATTGCCCAGTGCAGTGTTTTAGTAAAAATTGAAGATGCAAATGACAACAGGCCAGAGATAGACATCACTTCCTTGTCAAATGTAATACCCGAGGACGCACGTCCTGGTACTGTTGTAGCCCTGATGGGTGTAGTAGATAGCGATTCGGGCAAGAATGGCGAAGTAGTCTGCACCTTACAAGACAATTTACCCTTTGTGTTGAAACCTTCCTCTAGGGAAAATTTTTATTCTTTAGTGACAAATCGGAAGTTAGACCGAGAGGTCATTCCGATGTATAATGTTACAATAACAGCAAGTGATCTGGGAAATCCCTCATTGTCGTCTTTTAAAACTATAACAGTGATGATATCTGATGTAAATGACAACAGTC